CCCACCTATCCCCTCCTCCCACCTCAAGCCGCACCTCCATCTCCTACCGACCAACCTCATCCCGCCCCCTTGACCTGTCCCTCCTCCCTGGACTGACCTATCCCCTTCCTAACTCCCTACCTACACTCACCTTTACTGGCTCCATCCCCGCCTCTTCGACCTGTTTGTTTCCTCTCCACCTATCCTCTCCTCTATCCCTCTTCTTTCCGCCTCCCACTCTCTCCCTATTTATTTCAAAACCCCCTTCCCCTCCCCCTTTTCTGATGAAGGGTCTAGGCCCGAAATGTCAGCCTCTCTACTCCTATGATGCTGCTTGGCCTGCTGTGTTCATCCAGCCCTGCACCTTGTTGTCTCGGATTCTCCAGCATCTGCAGTTCCTACTATCTCAGATTTTACTTGCTTTCTTTATATTAATTCTTCAAGTATAATACTCATTATAAAACATATATTCATTGCAACATTTACTTCTAAATTCATCTAACTTCAACTTTCAATCACTTCATTTAACTTCACTTTACCTCATTTTACTTAATTCACACTTAACCCTAACTCTAACTTTAACTCTCAAAGTTTGGCTTGAATCAAATACAACCCTGTTTCAAGTGATGTGGCCAACTTTGGCCTGTGAGTAGATTTTGCCTCATGGTTCTTTGCCTTCTCCGAAGATAACTTCAGGGCACCTGCTTCTTAAACGGTGGTCTCAAAAGATCCTTCTGAGAAATCTATTTTTTCCTTTATTTCCACAAATGGGAAAACACCCATGTAGCTCGGGAACCAGTAACAAGCAAAGCCTGAAAGGGGCAATGCTTACATGAAAAAAGAGAAGGAGGAGTGTAGGGGTTAAATTAAAATATAATTGGAGGGGGAAATAAAGTACTCTACCTCCTGCAGTGCCTATCTCTCCCTATAGGCACAAGAGCTTTGGTGGACACCATGTGCTCCCTCTCCAAGGATACCCGGGCTCGAACCTAGCAACAGAAGACAGGCAGTTTGCCAAAATGACCCCCTCCACAGCCTGCTGCATGGACCTGTTTATAGCCGGCCTGGCCAGTCCCGGGAATCCTGCCCTCACCCCTCTGCATTGGGTGCCCAAAGATCAGGAGCCCGGGGCTGAAGTGCTACCAAAAAACAGAGCAAGATGTTCTTCAGATAACTGAAAAGGCAGTGCTAATGCTGACAATCAATCTACACATGGTCCACGGACTCCACAGCGCCATAAAACGAACAGTTGGTGTGGGAGTCCATCAACCATCGCGATCCGCAGTTGCAAGGGACTGCTGTGTGCAACACCCTCCGTGCCAGATCCCCGAGAGAAAAAGGGAGGACTCCTGCAGAGAGAGCCCTCAGCAGGGGATCCCCACTGCCTGGTGGTAAGTCTGGGTGGTGGATGAAGGAGAAGACGTAAATGGTGTGCGGCAGCCGTCCATACATACCTGCCGTTTTGCTTCTCTAAAAGACGTACAACATATATTTCAGAGGTGGTTCAGATTGTGGGGCACAGGCGCCTGAGGGAAGTCCAGGATCCTGGAGTCAGTGTGAAATTCTGTCCGAGCAGGGGTACACGCAGACGGGATTTCACTGCACACCTGAGCATCCTCCAACTGGTGCACAGTGTCGGGTCCAAGCATTGCTGTTTTGAGGCATTGGAAGGCAGTGGTTGCGAGCCGGGTGTCTACCGCCACCCCATGTACCAATTCTTGTGGCATCATCCAGCCCAGGCCCTCTGTCACTCAGCACATGCCCAGTTCTGGTCATCTCCGTGGCCACAGCCCCCTCTTCCGCCAGCCTCTCGAACATGCGATTGTGGAGGTGCGGATTTCTGAGCAATGGCTCTCTGATGATAGCTGCTACTCCTGACAGTGGGTAGGCCGGGTGCGAGTCGACCATGTCCCAGACATTGATCAGATTCTGGTAAAAGACAGGCAGCATCCTGAGCGCGACCTGCAAACCCTCACAGTCAATGAACAGGAGCTGTGTGTCGTAATTGAGGCTACTCACCTGGCAGAAAGAAAATATGTCGCCAGGGTTCACCACCCAGGAGGAGGCTCGATGTAAAGGTATCGCTGCAAGGTCTGAAGGCAGGAAGTCGCCACCTGGGTGCAGATGCACATCAGTGATTAACCGCCCTCCTCAGCAGGGAGACTCAGAACCTGTGCCATGACCCAGTGCGTCTTTTTGTCCCAGAAGAAGTGAACCAAAGTTCTCTGGATGTCAGCAGCAAAACCAGGAAGAGGAACCAAAGGGACTGGCCGGTACAACAACGTGAGGCCAGCAGCTGATTTATGACCTGAGAAATCTTTTGTTCTGTTAACTTTTATCCCAAAATGTGCTTCTCCTGCAGAAAATCCTCTGACACTCAGCCAATGAATTGACCAAACCCTGATCACAGCCTTTGATCCCAGCCAATGGAGTTTTACTGGTAAACAACTCCCAGATGTTTACACCAAGTCATAAACAGCCACTTCCATACCCCATATAAGGTAATATGGTGCCAGCATATCTAGAGACAACCAAAAACCTACCTAATGCATTCAGCATAGGAAGGTCACAGCTTATAGGGCAGGTCATATCATATCCTGGCTGCAGTTTTAACTAAGGTCAGACTTTAAACTAGCTTGACGAAATTTCCCAGCATGCTTGATCATAGCTCCTAACAAGTCTCGTAGCCATTTCTGTTGCTGGCCGCCTGACCACACCCTAGAGAATCATTAATGTTGAGGGAAGTGATAACACTAGTCACAGTTTCTCATTGAGCAGATTATTGGGCTACTGTAGATGCAGCTTTGCTTTCTGGACAGGGCAGGGCATGACACATTGCCATGTGCCCTTCACAATCTGGCCATACCAAGGGGAAAAGAGCTAAATCCCAAAATGGAAGTGATGGTATAATCTTCATTGGCAGTTACCAGAGTTGTACAATTCAATGCAAAGGAGATGCACAGAAACCTCATCATCACTTGAACCCAGTGCCTTATTATTCAATGAAGGCTGGATGAGCAAAGGCATTCCTATGTGACTATTGAGATCAAACATTATTCATGTCCATATTCGCACAGTCCATCCCTTTCTGAGTCACACAAACCTTACACCTATTGACACAGCCAAATATCATAACAGTCAGATACTGCTGATTAGTGTTCCCATTCTTCTAATGTCTAACATCAGCATGTCTGCAAAGGCTGAGGTATGCAACTCTGAAAAACTAGTTTAGTGACAAACATAACAATATCTTCAAAATGCAAATAAACCACAGTACCCAAGTCTTGCATTTCTTAAAACATTTACAAATGTTGTGGTGAAGTGCATCTCTAGTATCTTAAGGCAACTTTGAGAAAGACTTGCACCTCACAGAAGTAGCAGTAGATGCCGAGTCTGAAGCACCCATTATAGGATTATGGGGACATCTAATATTGAGGGCATTTCTATTACAACACCTTTAACCTAACTCACTGTCTATTTGTGTTTGCAGGATCAATGGGATATTGACACTGAGGATCAGCATGTTTTTGCATGTGGACGCAAATCGTCTTGCAAGAGTTGAACATAGAACCACAACCTCAACCTTGCAGGCCTATAACTCATGGCCTTTGATGATGATGATGGACTTATGTTTTATGCCTCAAAGATATGTAGAAATGATACATCAGCTCTGATTTCTAGAATAGGAATTGTAGTCAATGCTTTACAATGTCTGCTCTCTCATTCTTACAGCAGGTTGCTTCAGTCTCATTTCTTTATCCAGAAAGAGTGCAGGAGAAATTTACAAGGATGTTGCTAGGAGTCAAGGGACTGAGTTATAGGGACAAACTAGGACTTTTTCCTTTCGACCGTAGGAGACTGGTGTGGTGGGGGGCATCTTATAGAAGTATATAATATCATGAGAGGCGTGGATAGGGTGAATGCACTCAGTCTTTTTCCCAGGGTTGGAAAATCAAAGACTAGAGGTCATCAGTTTAAGGTAAGAGGGGAAAGAATACATGGGAACCCGAGGGGCAACTTTTTTACACAGAGGATGGTATGCATATGGAATGAACTGCCAGTGGAAGAGATTGAGGTGGGTACATTAAGAACATTTAAAATACATTTGGACAAATACATGGATAGGAAAGGTTTAGAAGGATATGGGCCAAGTGCAGGGAAATGGGGTTAGTGTGGATGGACATTTTGTTCGGCATGGACAAGTTTGGATCAAAGTGCTGTTGGACTCTATGACTCTACGACACCAGGCTTAATTACACGATGTGTAATCAACTGTTAACAGATATCTATAATCAAATGTTGAACAACTGTAAAGTACATATTTTACCCCTTGTAAACTAAACATAACTTAACATAAGATATAGCCACAGAATTAGGCCATTTGGACTATCAAATCTGCTCCACCTTTGATCATGGCTGATCTGGTTTGTTATGGACCAGACATACTCCTTCAAAATATTTTAAGAAGGTAGCCTAGACCCTAACTTTTTCTTAGTTTAAAGGCAAATGTGGAATGCTGTGTTCTAGAAACAATTCGACTGGTCAAGCTATTAGACATTAAGGAAAACATAATTTATTCAAACCCTGCAGTAAAATACAACAAAAGAATGAAGAACTTAGAATAGCTTAATTCTATTTGAAAACTTAACAGAATAATAGATAAAGTAACTCTTACAAATTAACTATTCCAATATAGTGGCATCTAAAAAACACACCCCTTGGCAATAAGGCAAATTCAGAAATCAGCTTTTCTCACATGCAATGCCTGTAGTAGGAAGAGAAGCTGTACCTTCTAGCTGTAATTGTGAGAAAGAAAAAAGACAAATTCTACTTCTTCAAAACTCCAGCAGTTTCTGCTGAACCTAAATGCTATAAAAAACCCTAGAAATCCTGGTCTGTGAGAGCTGGCCACATCCACCCAGGTTGTTTCTATTGTTCCAACTTTAAAAAAGAACCCCCAAGCTGTTTACATTACCGCAGACTGCTTGATACCTCTTGTTCAATCTCTGTCTTAAAATAAATCAGGACAAAATACACTTCTTAAAGCCACAGAAGAATCACGGTTTCTCAATCCCATTCTCCTGCCTTCTCCTGGTAACCCTTGATCCCCTTACCAATCAAGAACCAATCTATTGCTGATGTAAATACACTCAATGACATGTCCTCCACAGATTCACCACTGTCCGGCTGAAGAAATTCCTCCTCATCTCAGTTCTAAAGCGTTGTCCTTTCACTCTGAGGCTATGCCCTTGGGTCCTAGTCTCTCCTATGAATGGAAACATCTTCTCAATGTCCACTCTATCCAAGCCTCTCTGTATTCCCTAAGTTTCAACGAGATTCTCCCTTCATCCTTCTAAACTCCATTGAGTATAGACCCAGAGTCCTCAAACACTCCTCAAATGACAAGCTCTTCATCCCTGAGATCATTTTTGTAAACATCCTTTAGGGCCCCTCTGGACTTCTGTATTTTTTATTGATCAGCTCTAAGCACATAAATATTCTGAGAAATGAAGGTCTCTGATGACATTGAGATCTATGAATTTAAGGCTCTAGTTCTGTCTTCTACTCCTTTCACTGTAACAAAGTTTTTGTCCTCATACTATATCACTGCGATCCTGTTCCTATCACTTTGCTCTTAGGGTGTGCAAACACAAGGGGACAGTGATAGACTTGAGATGCGGCTGTGGAAATGCCCTTAACGCTGGACTCTGTACTGATCTTATGATAGGTGCATGAGGCTGTACATGTGCCTCATCTCCCATGAGGTGCATGAGGTGGAGCAAGAGTTTGGCTTGTAAAAAGCACACATGCATGCAATGATCATTAAGCAGTTGCTGGGGAGCACAGGGTATCACTTAGAAATTGAGGGACTCCACTATCCCCAGTCAATATTCATCCACGATGTACATGGCATTCACTCAGATGTATCCTCAGGATTTGGACAACATCATTCATCATTTTCCTGCACTAGGAGAAGTCTAGCTACTGGATCCTTCCAATGCTGACCTCCATTGTCAGCTGTTCTAGCCATTGGCTGAAAATAGCGTGCACACTCTAACAACTTGAAGAAGGCCTGTAAGGGACATATCGATGAACATTGGGGCAATTGTGATGGATAATCAACATTTATCCTTGAAAATTCTACAGCTCTCACAACCACAGGAACACTTATCTTCAATGCCCTTTTATGCTGAGTGCTGGTCTGGTTGTCTTTACATAATGTTTGCCAGCTCCAGCACCTTTGTCATGTGCACATGGGAACACCCAACCCACCACTTGATCACAAGGACATTCATGTCATTTCTGTTAATTTGCTGGACAACTTATGACTGCATTTGAATGGCCACAGAAGGCCCCCTCTGGTTGGAGAAATGCATTTGTACATTACACAAATATGACTTGTCATTGTCATGTGATTTATGCATTTACTTTAGAAGTAGATGCCATTAAAACACTTCACATGAAACCTGATGTCAGAGGTGTTCAGCTTAAATTGTGAAGATTTTCAGAGCCCTAAGAGAGACAGCTAATGTAAGAAACAGAGGGCAAAAATTAGATCCCCAGTCTGCTGGGTGATTCAGAATGCCTGTACCTTTCCTGCCGTCCTCTATGGCTCTGAGATGTGGACTGTCTACAGCAGACACCTGAAGGCACTGGAGCAGTACCACCGATGGTCCCTGCACAAGCTCTTGCAAATCAACTAGGAAGAAAGATGCACCAACATCAGCGTTCTTGAAGAGGCCAACATCCCTAGCACCAAGGCATTGACCACCCTATAGACCTAGACCATCGGCTATGATGGGCTGGGTACGTTGTCTGCATGACTGACATAAGACTCCCCAAGCAGGTGCTCTATTCCTAGCTTGGAAACAAAATGCGAGCCTCAGGCTGTCAGAGGAAGCATACTTTCAAGGACTCACTGGCAAAGTGTGACATGTTCTGCTGACACCTGGAAATCACTGGCCCAAGTCTGTCCCAAAATGAAGGAAGAGCATCCGAGAAGGTGTCGAGCACTTCAAGAATTGCCAAAAACGGAAACCAGGTGAAAACTGCAAAAGGAGCAGACTACCACACCAAAGCCCCAATCACACTTTCCAGTGACCACCTTCTGCCCCAAGTATGACAGAGCTTGTGGTAGCTGCATCAGTCTGTATAGACATCTACTGACTCACCCTGAGAATGAAAGAGAGTTATACTTTTCTGTGAGGGACCACCAATGATGAGTGAACCTTTTCAGTTCCTACTCAATTGGAATTTATTCCAGGTTTAGTGGCAAAATGATATAGCCCACAAACACAATAGAAAAACTTGAACAAATAAGAAGAACTCTGCCATGTGTTCTGTGGAAAGAATGTTTCAAGCTAGATCGCATTGAAGAACAGGAATAACAGATTAGAGGAATTTTGAAGGTCTTGGAGATACATTTCAAACTTATATTAATGTTACTCATGAATAACCTGTGCTTAACATCAGAGTTCAAGTGGAGAGGGAAAATATAGATGATTATGTGATCACTAGTGCAGTTGGCTCAATGTTGTTAATTTTGGCAACTGTGAGATGATCTGATAGGAAATAAAGTTGTTTTGGACAGAATTAATGGGAGGCTTTGTATAATGCTGAGAGACAGTCCAGGCCTAACAAAAAGAGCATAATGGAGAAAAAGGAAAGAATATTTACAGAAAGATCAACAAAAATGCCAAGATCAAAATATGGGATGCAGGTATTATGGAGGATACACACAGAAGAAAAGGAAGCATGTCCAGCATGAGGAATGTAGTGCTATAAGAAGCTGTATCACTTTGCATGTAAATGTTTAGTTACAGACAATCAAAGCAAACATTTAAGACTGAGATAACAAGGTGTAGAGCTGCATGAACACAGCAGGCCAAGCAGCATCAGAGGAGCACGAAAGCTGACGTTTCGGGCCTAGACCCTTCTTC